GTAGATATTTAACCCAAATAATTGAAAATTACAATTTAAAGTTCACGCTCGGTTATGACGCCGTGTAGTATTATTATAGGCTAATATCGTCGTTTCGAAATAAAATATCGCCACCATCTTCAGGATATCCTCTCTTCCTTCAAAACTTTGGTAACTACCCATAAGACGTCGTAGTCCGGAAGACCAAAATCGTTAGGAATTTTCGACAGTTTTCTGGTGAAGGAATTATAAGGTCAGAGACAATAAAACAACATAATTCAACTAAAGGTTTTGGATAGATATAGATGTTTAAAAATAGTAAATTAATAGAAATCCTTGTGTTATGGTTCATGCACGCTATTTATTTACATGACACAATCACAAAATTATCATAAATCTTCATAATTCATAGGTAAGCTGATTGTTTATAGTCTGTTTATGGTTGAATGGCCACAGTATGATAAATCAAACATGACATAAATCAAACATAAAACATAACAGTAGCCTAGGCTAACAACATTAAACGCCAATTGCACTTCAAAACTTTTCGACGTACATGTCTGTATGTCATTTACGGGGACACATTTGTAAAATAGCCTTGCTGTTATGCATACACTGTTTGATAATTTACAAAATTCTATTGACATAATTGATAATAAATGCGTCATTAGCCCCGATATTCATTTATAGCAGACATAAAGCAATTATTTCAAATATAATAGGACAGATGGCACGCTGTTTTGAACCAGAAATGATTTATCCCCGTACAAACACACAATACTAAAAAGATGTTTTAATGAAAGTTGTAGACTCGTGAGTTTTATATATAGGTACTAGAAAATTGCCCGTCAATAATAAGTACAAGTTAAAGTCATTCTTGAAACACATTTTTATTAAAAAGTGTAACAGATGAGCATACAAAAATTAAAATCATTATTTATAATTACGAATGATGCAAAGCGTTAAAACTTAAACATCTCTTTTGATACGACATGTAGCAGGCCATGGCATACTTAAAGAGCCTTTTGTTACAGTGAATTTTTTCCAAAAAGGAGCATATAAAAATTAAAACTATGTAATGTTGTGTTATCAAAGGTTAATATCCTTCGATTTTGAAGAATCTACAACAATTTTACGTTTTACAATGTCAGATATGGTCTTATGTACAAGTTTTAGTAACTGCGTTGTATTACATACACATATTAGGCCTCCTTTAACTGCACTGACGTGACAACGGTTATAATATTATCCCACAAAGCCCAAAATTCCACAAGAGTAAATGTTCACTATACCACATCAATGGTAAGAGCGCACACATTCATAACTATTAACACATAAGACCCAAAATCCCTTTACAGCAAATGATCACTATTTACTCACATTGTTTGTTGGATGGATAGAGTTTTCTATTTGTTCGGTAAATTATTTATTATAAAATGTATAATGTTTGATTTGAAACTTCATGTATATCAGGGATTATACTAGAACAGGATAGAACAAGCTTAGACCTGTCAATAAATTCAGTCCGGCCCGCGATATTCTATAATTAATAACGTAATATTTGATTAATTTCCCTTTTCTCAAGTACAATAAAAAAAATCCTATCCGGTTCAGAGAAAAACAAATGAACGTTCCTGTATTAGACGGATATGAACCAAAATTAAAATCGACAGACAACGTTTTGTACAAACCTTCAATGTTTAATTAGA